CAGGCCCACGCTGAGCCCCGGATCGGTGTGTAATGCTTCCGTGCCCAGGCCAGGGCGTGTACACCCATCCTGGGCCCAGGATGGGCATGGCCCGGGTCGGTGTACTCGATGCCCTCCCACCTATGTGTCAGGGGGAGGGGTGGGGGCAAGAGCGGCTTGGCCGTCCGCGGGGGCGCGGGGGTGCAGCCGCGCTTCGCGCCCCGCGGCCTGGGCCAAGAGCGGCTGCCCCTCTCCAAGGGGTCGACGCGGGGGCGCGAAGGAAACCGCGCGGCGCGCATCGTTGGGGGCGGCAATGCGCGAAGGCAGGTGACCTACAGTGGAGGCCCATGCCAAGAAACATCCTGCTTGCCTCCAGGGTGCCCTGGGTTTCGAGGGTTTTGCGCTGGAAAGACGTCCCCGCACCAAACATCGATGGACGTCCTGGGGTCTCAGGGTTGGGCTTCTTGTGGGAGGTTTCTTGTGGACTGGCCTCCACTGCAGAGCCAAGACGCCGAAAGGAGACTCGCTTCGGGATCAGGGGGGCCCTGGTTTTCGGGACCCGCTCCTCACGGTCTGGGTCGCGGGCCCTGCTCGTGGCCGAGGCTCGCCGTGGCCAGAAAGGCCGTGTCGTCCCTCCTCCTCCTCCTCCTCCTCCTCCTCCTCCTCCTCCTCCTCCTCCTCCTCCTCCTCCTCCTCCTCCTCCTCCTCCCCTCCCCCTCCCCCTCCCCTTCCCCCTCCTCCTCCTCCCCTCCCCCTTCTCCCCTCCTCCCCCCTCCCCCTCCTCCGTTCCTCTCATCGTGGCGCGATGGTTGTACGGCAGGTTCGCGTCGTGTCGACCAGTTGCGACCCCAGCGCGGGCGTGTAAGGTTGATCGCCGCCCGTGGCCCAGACTCGGCCCATCGTTAAGCGGTTCGGCGTGTCTGAAAGGGCCGATCGTTCAAGTGTGAACGATTTTTCGCGCTGTCAGGAAATCAACGCCGTGGTCGACACGACGCGAACCTGCACTACGCGCCCAGAGCGGGGGGCGCGGGCCAGGAGCGAGCGACGGGCCCTGTCCAGAGGCCCGAGAGCGACCAGGGCGGCCAGGGAGCAGTCGGCGTGGGGGCTGCTGCCCGGCCGCCGACGGTGCCCGCCCGTCCGCTCCTGGGGCCAGAGGGGCGTCCACGGTGCCCGACCGACCACGGGCGCCTCCGCTCGATCCCCTTCCGCACCGCGGCGGGCGACGCGATCGAGGTCCGCGTGGTGATACGCCGCAGCAGCGCCGAGGACGACGCCCGCCTGGAGGGCCGCGCGGGCGTGGACCTCGCCAGCGGGATCAAGGTCTGGGAGGGCGGCCTGGACCTGGCCGAGGCCCTCGCGGCGCTGCCGCGGGAGGCTGCAGGGCACCTGCGCGGAGGGCGGGCGCTGGAGCTCGGAGCCGGGCACGGCGTGCCCGGGATCGTGGCGTCGATGCACCTGGGCATGAAGGTGGACTTCCACGACCACAGCGCGGAGGTCCTGGAGCAGGTGACCGCGGCCAACGCGGCGGCGAGCGGCCTGGGGGAGGCGACGTCGCCGCCGGAGGACCCTCCGAGGCTGTTGTCGGGCGACTGGCGCGAGCTGCTGCGTGAGGTCAGCCAGGGCGCGTACGATGTGGTCCTGGCGGCGGAGGCGATATACCGCACAGATATGTACGACGACTTGGCAGCGCTGTTGGAGCGATGCTTGACGCCAACAGGAGTTGCGTGGTTCGCAGGGAAGCGTCTGTACTTTGGCTGCGGCGGAGGTACAGCTTCCTTCGGAGCGTTCATGCGCGCCCGCGGTGGATTTACTGTTGATACGGCGCAGGTAATCGAGGATGGCCGGTCCAACCTCCGGGAGATTCTGAAGATCTCGCGCACTAGGTCTGACGCGTGTGCTGGCGCCAAGGCCGCTGTGGAGCCCGCTGGAGGAGGCCAGTTATCCAGTTGATTGCGGCGTATCTGGCCACCGCGCTAGCGCAGCACTCCTTGTGGCGACGCTCTGAACACCGCCCAGAAGGCCGTAACGCGTGACACCGCTCATCTATGTTGCTCGAGGGGTTTTCAAGGTGGCCACCTGGGCCGCCTTGGAGCTGTTTGGGGGTCCAAGTGGCTCTCTTGCGGCTCTCTTGGGGCTCTATTGGACCGTCTCTGGGCTCTCTTGGCCGTCGTGGGCCCGTCTGGGGAGTCTATTGGGATTGTTTTCGGGGCCTCTTGGCCCCGTTTAGGGCTGTCTTGTTCCCCTCTTGGGCCGTCTTGGGCCCTCTTGGAGCTGCTCTGGGCCGTCTGGGGAGCTTCTTCAAACCGTTATTAGGCGTACTGGGCATCTTTTTGGCACATCCGATGATCTCTTGGAGCCATCTTGAGCCGAAAGGACGGAAGATGGTTAAGAACATTGGAAGCATTATTTCCTCTGGGGTTTGAAATTCTCCTCCGGGGTTTGAATGCTGCTAGTCTTCCTGGAGGGCCTCTGGGTCTTCTCTGTGCTATCTTGGAAGCCTCTTGGGGCCCCATGTGGCGCCTCTGGGGGGTCGTTGGTTGCATCTTGGGGCAATGTCTGATCGTGCGGCCTCGGCTGGTGGCCTTCCGGGGCCGTCTCTTTACCCCTCGAGGGCCTCGAGAGCCCCCGGGAGGAGGAGCCGGGCCGCCCAGAGAGTTTCGGGGAAGGGGGTCGAAGCACGCAGTGAGGTGTTGTTTCACTGGTTCGGGCCGGTGCTCAGGCCCTAACAGGACGGGCGCACACACGTGTGGGCTGGTGGATACGCACCTGAGGTAACAAGAGAACCAAGGGACCGAGAACACGGGGCGAGGGAAAAGTTCAGCATCCTCACACTGTTGTTCATGTATTATTTTGCTTCGTTTCTCTGCTACTCTTCGAGATGTGGGAGAGGGGGGGGCCAGAAGGTTCACAGGAGCCCTACCAGATAGCACTTGGCAGTCGACCACGCCTCCACGTGCCGGCGGGCGCGGTGGCGGACCTCGACCGTAAGGATCGAAGGGAGGAAGTGTGAGGCGAGAGTGAAGGAACGGTGGATGGACGGAAAGCGTGAGCACCTAGGTCTGCCTCATAATAACCTTCGGAGGTCCCAGAGAGGTTGGAAAGGGGGCGAGGCCAGCTCCAGGCCTTGGTCATCGGCAAGAGCTTCGAAACGCCGACATTGTCGGATATTACAGCCCTCTGAGACCCTCTGTAGCTTCAGGCCTCTGGTAGACCCAGATGTTTCCGGAAAAACATGTACCAAGGACGTCGTCACCATCCCGCAAGGTATGGATTCCAAGCAACGAAGTGTTGAGCTTGTTTGGGCAACCTGCGCATTGTCCCGCCTGTTAGGAGGATGAGGACGTTCATTGGAGGTCCAAACGAGGGTCCTCATATGTCGGGGTGCGACGATTTGCCAAGTCCTACGGACACCCCACAGCAGGGCCGCGACTATGAAGCCACAGACAGCGGTGGTCCGAAAGGACTGGCATGGGACCCCTCTGGGCCACCCTCTTGGCCAAATTCGCGCGCCATGCTCTTTGGGGCGCTGCCGGCCCTCCCAAGATTTGGAAAGAGGAAGTTCGCTCTTTCGGAAAGTACAGTGGAGACATCAGTAGCAGCCCCAGCAGATGCCAAAGGCAAAGACGATCAGCCGATGCTAATTCATTCCCACAATTCGCGCGGTTTGCCGTCGATCGCGAGGCTGCCTGCAGCCGAACCTGTGCGAGACACACGTGCCCATCCTGAAATCCCACCCCGGCGTGCCGTACAGCGTTCGAGATTGTTGCCCTCCCGCGCCAGTCGTTTCGCACGCTGTAGGCATGGGCCTGGAAGCTCTGGGGGGGGCGGGCGCACTGCAAGAGACTCTAGGTGCAGTTTCTCGGCACGGCACACAGTGGGGCAGCCAGAGCCGCGCCTCCATGCGGGTCACATGAAACTGCACGCAGGAGCCATGTCAAGATGAAGCAGGCGGCAGAAAACGAGGGAGAAGAGGAGGAACGGGTGGGAGGAGGAGGAGGAGAAGGAGGAGGAGGAGGAGGAGGAGGATGTGAACGACGACGACGACGACGACGACGACGAGAATGAAGAGCAGGTGCAATGGGAGGAAGAAGAAGGAGGAATAGGAGGGAGTGGAAGGAGCAAGGAGGAGGTTCTTTCCCAATCAGGCTTCGCCCAGGTTTCTGACTCCGTCTGTTCCAAATGGACGATAGCGACCGCGGCCTGTCCCGCCAGGTGACTGGGGGGTCATCGGGGGTCCTCCAGGGTTCATCGGGGACTCCTCGGCCTCATTTTCTTTTGCTCGTAGCGCGGAGCATGGCATATCACTGCGTAGCATGACATCCTCCCAGCAGAGCATAGGATGGCAGAAGCAGGGCGTACACCCGGAACTCGCTTGCTCTCTCTCTCTCTCTCTCTCTCTCTCTCATCTCGTCATGATCGACGTCGCTCCAGGCGTTATGTGTTGTTTCCTTATGTCCTTCGCCGTCCAGACACAGCATGCCTGGCATGGCTTCCCACGGCACAGCATGCCTCGCGTGGCTTCCCACAGCAGAGTACGGCTTACCATAACATGGCAATCCATGATATGAAATATTCGAGCCCTCGGGGAGGGGGTCCCCCCGCGTGGCTGTGCGACGTGGGACCCCCGGCCGTCCCGCCCGGCCCCAGGAGGCCGATCTTCTTGCGCTGTCGCCAGCGAGAAGCGCTTCCTTCGCTTCGGAGGTGGCGGAGGGGACCCCGATCGGATTCCAACACGGAAAGGGGGACCCCGTAGGGAAGAGGGAAGAGGCTCTTGCTCGAGATTTCTTCCATCTTCAGGCCCGACGATCCCAAGAGTGACGACAGTTACGCGGTTTGGATGACACGGCTCGGATTCCAGCATGGAGCTGGAGGCCCCATAGGGAAGGGGGTTCCCGTTCGAAATTTCTTCGCTATTCACTCACAGACCAGGCTCCCGCTCGAGACTTCCTGAAGATGAGTGCGTGCGTGTGTAAATGACTTCTTCAGTGCGTGCGATGATGATGCTGATGATGATGGTGGTAGTGTTGGTGATGACGATAATGATAATGAGGAGGAGGAGGATGATGAGGATGATGAGGGTGAGGATGAGGACGAATCTGAGGATGAGGATGGGGATGAGAATGAGGATGCTGATGAGGATGATGATGATGATGCTGATGATGATGATCATGATCATGATGATGATGATGATGATGATGATGATGATGATGATGATGGTGAAGTGAGGAAGAGGGTGAAAACATGGCGTGATGATGACGATGATGATGGTGATTTCACGTCGACGACGACAATGACGATGGCAATGATGATGGCACATGGTCATGATGGGATGATGGTACTGGTGATTGGTGATCACTGCATGATGATGATGATGATGATGATGATGATGACGATGATGATGCGGCAGTGTGTTTCTCCGCGGGGGTGTCCAGAGAAAACCAGAAACACTCTTGAGAGGTTGGAAAATGTCAAGATCTGCCCAAACGAACACAAGAATGTCTGGGGTCCACGACGCCAGAAGCGCGGGCAGGAATAAAGAAATGTTGCAGAACGTGCGCCCATGCTGCTCCATGCGAGCACCCTGGCTGTTTGCGCCCAGCGGCACCATCCACGTCCAACGTACACCTACAGTCTTGTAGTACGCGCCTCGCCGATCCATGCAGATCCCACCGTTCGCAACTGTGTGCTCTCATGCGTCAGGGGGCTGCTGGAATCGATCATCAGTCGCCACATCCGGATGCTGCCATCCACGCTGCCTGGGGTACCTGCCTTGCGCCCACGCGTCTCTCCGCTGCCGCACCAGAGTTCAACTGCGGCCACTTTTACAGCAGGCCACTGCTCCCGTCACGCCACATTTAAAAATATGCATCAGACTACAGAGTTGCCACCTCAGCTGTAGAGCCATCCTCTCTTGTCGCGCAGCCAGACGCAGAGCTCGGCGGGGACTGTTCGGAAACGACGACAGAAGCCACTTCAGTTCAACCCGCGATGCCAGCAACTGCGACCAACACACCACCACCTGCGCCAGAAACCGACAATCAGAAATCCTCTGAAAGAAAACCGGACAGCCTCACGAAAACAGAACGACAAGCCCTTGGAAGCGACAGTTCCCCTACCAAGTCTGCTGCAGCTGTCGCTTGCCTGTCTCCCCCATCGCAGCGTCGACCAGCCTGGGCCATTTCCTCGCAGCAGTGCGAAGCATCTCCTCTGTACCAATTATCCGCTCTGTCGCAACGTTGCGGATTTAGACAAGCACGTAACGACGAAAAAGTGGTTGCGCGAGTTCCTACACGATGCATCACCCGATCTTCGTGCAGCAATCCTGGCATACTGCACAACGTGTGCTCGATTCGCTGCCTGCTCACACCCCGAACGTTGTAGGCGCGTCGCGCCATCATCAAAACATTTTCCAAAAACGAAATTTGACACCACACACTACAATAATCCATATCAAATCAAATTGTTTGATTGGGCTGCGTGCCGGAATGCGCCATCCGGATGCCGCGAGTTGGCTAAGAAACCTACTGGTGGCTCCTGCTTTCCGTGCAGTGCGAACCGGTTACTTTGTCGCTACGCCGTGGTAAAGTGCAAACGTGTTTCGTATGATTATTATGGCACGCCTCTTGCTACAACTCCTTGCTCAAGCTCGTCGTCGCCAGTGCCTAAGTCCAAGTGTCCATCCACAATCGCCACGAGAATGTCCAAGAGCCTTCGATGCTGCCGATCAGATCCCTGCCCCTTTTTCACCACACGCCAGGGGTATCTGCGCCACTGCCACATGCGCTGTTGCAGTGGACGGGTCGGCATCGCCATTCTGTCACCTACGTCGCCTTGGCACACCTCCCTGCTATTGTGGCCGACGTGCCCTGAAGGACAGCAATGGTTCCTGCGCCCTGCGCGCTCCTTGCCAGCCTCCTCCACAGAATGCCGCTGCACATCCCAGCACACAGCCGTCCATCCACGCGCACGGTTTGCCCTGCAGACCGATGCCATAACATCTCCGAGGACGGATCCTTGTGTGGATGCTGTCCGCATGGTTTCTGGCCTTGCTCAATGCCTTCCTGCCCTGCCCGTACAGGACATCCCTAGACCAGAGCGGGTTCTGCCTCGTCTGCCGTCCGCCCTCGCCGTGCCACTTGTGCGCCAATGCAGAGTGTTTCAACATCTCTGCCAGGGTTGGCTCAAGGTTGGCTCAAGCTGGCTCAAGGCCGAGGCCCATAGCCCGAGCGCCGCGGCCCGCGCCGCCTCCCCTCGCGGCGTGAGGCGTCCGGAGCTAGGAGCTTGAGGAGATGGCTGCGGTCAGCTGCAGGGCCGCCCATGCGGCGGCGGAGCAGCCCCCGGCAGTGCCCCCCGGCGGCCAGGCCTTCGTCGTGGCCTGTGCGGCGGGCCAGGCAGGAGGCCGGGCGCCAGGCGGCCGCTGGGCGCCTGGCGGAGGCGCTGCGCCGCGTGGCGGAGCTCGAGGCCCGATGCGCTGGGCTCGAGGCCGAGATGCGCGCCATGGAGGCGGCGCAGGCAGCTGTGCGCCCGTCTGCCGCGGCGACCGAGCGCGACGCGCCAGGGCCGCGGGCCGCGGAGCCCGAGCTCGTGACGAGACTCGCCTTGGTCGCGCCCATCCTCGAGGCGGACTTGGGAGGGCAGTCGGCCCCCGTCCGCACTGGGGAGCCTCCTGCGGAGGCAGCGGCCTGCCACGCCATGACGCAGACGGCGCTGATGCTCCACCACTTCGATCCTGTCCCCGTCGTGGCCTTCGACAGCGCGGATGCAGGCGAGGACGAGGAGGCCTTCTTCCCGACTCTCTCAGAGGACGGCTTGACGGAGGGCCAACAGCAGAACCGCTTCGAGGAGGACTGCTCCGCACAGGGCGACCCCGGGAAAGACTTCGAGCAGGGCAACTTCACCGAGGGCAGCTCGAGCGATGGCTCCGGGGCGGGCTGCCTCGCAGAGGGCATTTCGGCGGCCGGCTCCACGGAGGGCGGCTTCTCGGATGGCAAACAGCAGGACGGCTACGAGAAGGCCTACGGCGACGAGGACGAGGAGGAGGACTACGACGAGGACGATGAGGAGGACCAGCATGAGAAGAAGGGGCAGGGAATGATGTCGGCCATGAGCGAGGGGAATTTGTTGACCCTGGAGAACACTCGGTTCCACGAGGGGGAGACCCAGAATGTGGAGCCAGAGGGCGCGGATGAGACGGCCGTGGCGGACACTGACGACGGCGACAATCACGGTGCAAGCCTGGCGGCCAGGGCCAGCCGGGCGCCCAGCCCTGCGCCCAGCCCGGCTTCTAGCCCGGCGCCCAGCCCGGCTCCAAGCCAGGCGGCGCGCCTGGCGCCCTGCCCGCCACCTGCGCCATGCCGGGCGGCCCCCCCGGCGCCCAGCCTGGCGGCCGGCCCGGCACCCAGCCCGGCGGCCAGCCTGGCTCCAAGCCCGGCCCCACTGGATGCGGCGGCATCGCCTGTGGTGCTGGACCTCGAGACGCAGGCTGCGGGCGAGGAGCCGCCGCCGAGCTCTCTGGGGATTGTTGCCGCGGCCGCTGCGCTGCAGCCCGAGGCCGAGGAGGTGCCCGTCGCGGCGCCGCTGCCCGCGGCAGAGAAAGAACCCATCGATCCGGCGCGCGCTGAGGCCATGGACATGGCGCCCATCTTCGCCGCCATGCCGGGCGCTACGCCCGAGAGCGTGGCGCAGGTGCTCCTCGAACAGTCGCGGTTCTTGGCGATGCACGCGGGCCAGGGCGAGGACGGGGACGCCCGACGCCAGTTCATCAGGCGGGGCATCGGCTCTACGCGAAGGCGGCACGCCTCCTACAGGAGCATGGGGCGCTGGCCGCTGGTGGGCGGGCTGCCGCAGGAGGGGGCGGAGGCGTGGGAGGCGGAGCCTCTCCCGTGGCGCTGGTGGCGGAGGAGGCCGGGGAGGCGGGGCCTCTCTCGAGGCGCCCGTGAG